TATATATATTATTTTTTTTTTAATTTTTTTTTATTTTTTTTGCCCAATTGTACATTAAACAAACCATACATGAAGGGCAGTACTAATGTATGACATTCTCAAGACTAGGAATAACATAATAAATCTGAGCGTAGGAAATTTTCCAGCTTGCTAATTAACAAACACGAACACTATGCAACCAAAATTATTACATACATGATACATCTCTCAAAGTGGAGTTTCTTTATGAATCATTCACCAACGACGCCAAGAAGAGCTAAGAAGAGGTTGACGATGTCTCCGAAAAGGCAGATTGCTGCAATGACATATTCATCGTAGGTGAAGTTCCTGATTAAGTTATTTGTGTCGTATATGATATAAGCTGAGAATAGGAGTGCCGCCAGACAGCTATATACCATCCGTACTTCCCGTCCTAGATGAAGAATATACTGTTGCATAGTGAAACCATCTCGTTAGTAAAAAGAAAATGTAGATATTTTCGAATTCTAAGAAGAAATATATAGATATATGTATATAATTAAGGTGATATAGACGTACCTGGGCTAGAAGAAAGAAAATGAGGACTATGGAGGCACAGAACAAGAAAGGACCAAGGAAGCTGAAGTCCATGCCTCTGCTTGCAGCCCAAAATGTGTAGAGGGTAAGGCTAACAGTTATAAGAACTGTCAGCCCAGCAGCCGTCAAGATAGTTGGCCCTGGAAACAAACGTTACATCAAAGTTTGAACTTTTTGGATCTTTGCACAAATAGCCGGTCAGATTCACTGTTTATTTTTCCTAAGTATACACTGATTATACATCGATTTTACATGGTTATACACATTATATATTGGTTATACGTCTGCCAACTATTGTTAGTTTAAGCTGTTGGTGGGCAGCTATTTAGGTTAATTTTTCAATTTCTTTAAATACAGTAGATCATGTTTCACAATAAATATGGGTTCAGAATACAAGGTTAAATTACCTAATCTTAATTATACTTTTATTTTGTAATACTTTTAATTTGAAATTTACCTATTTAGAAATTAAATAAGTAGTACTATTGACCGTATATAGCTTATGATAATAGAAAATATTCAATCTTTTTTCTTTTTGATCTAAGAAACTTGAATTTTCAAAATTATGCCATACATAATGAACTGAAATGGGTACAAATTTGATTCTATTTTTGACTTGCGCAATTGATTTGGATTTTGATCAAAGTATAATCTCCTTAAATTTTTAAATGAAATAATTTGTGTACGTCTATTTTTTCTGGGAACAAAAAGAGAGATACTGGGTAGTTTCATCGGGAGCTCTCCCATTTTGCATTTCGACCGACAATCAATCAGGGGCGTATGCAGAACTTTTTGTAAGCGGTGTCGACATTTAAAAAAATGAATAAAAGAATGACTGCCTATATAATGGATATCATATTAAGCAAACACAATATATTTAAAAAACACAATTTAAACTTCCAAATAACAATACAAAAAACCAAGAAGATTGGGCTAAAAAGTAGTAAGAAGAATATGTCTGCTAGGAGATTCGAGCACATGACATCTTCAAGAAAACGGAGGCAACTGACCAGGCGAGCTGAAGTCCAAGTTATGACAGCTAGGGTCATTTTACTTTGTTTCAAGAAATTTTGTATTTATACACTAATTACATACATATATTTGTATAATTTTTCGACGAAGCGGTGCAATCAATTAACAATGCTGTGCAATACTCAAAGAAATGCTTTAAGTTACATACGATTGACTTTTAGACTATTGGTAGATGCAGATTCAAACTTTAAAATTTATGGGCTTTTATATTAACCTAAAATTAATATGCAACAATAATTGGGTTCACAATCAAATATATATATATATATATATATATATATATATATATATATATATATATATATATATATTATATATATTTCTTTAAGTTACATACGAAGTATAAAGACTTTTAGACTATTGGTAGATGCAGACTTTGTAGCAGACTGTCTAGCTAAATATGGAGCAATGCATGCGGAGGATAGTTGTATACTTTTTGGGAGTCCTCCACTTTTTGTGAAGCCTTTTTACCAGCAAGATCAAGAGGGAATGCTTAGAAGAAGACTGATAAACTCAACAACTAAGACATGTAATAGTAGTTCCCTAACCAGTACTGCGTCTAGTAGTAGTGTTGTAGTAACAACCCCTGTTTCTACGTATAACAATAGTTCCCATAAGGGGACTGATGCAACTTATGCATCTTACAAACTCTTGGGTAAGCTTTTAAGTATCTATAATATGTAAAAAAAATATTCAAACTTTAAAATTTATGGGTTTCTATATTAACCTAAAATTAATATGCAATAATAATTGGGTTCACAATCAAATATATATATATATA